CGGATGATGTGTAATGCGTGCGGGCTTATCTTTGAAATGTCTCTTGTTGGTAGATCGGATGATTATTATCAGAGTTCCACTGACCCGGCTCCCCACTCTGTCTGTCGATGAACGGCTTGTGGAGACTAAAGAAAAACGAAGAGCCATTTGTTCAGTGGCGTGGGTTTTTCTTTTTGTTTCTGTGCGTTTCTGATTTTCATCGAACGGGAGGATTCCCTCCCAGCCTACTCCGGCCTGTCTTGTTTTGGAGACTTGAGGCTCGCTTTCTGCTGGAGTTATTTGTTGTGATTTTGTAACTCTGTGATGGTCTATGGACGTGGTCTGTGTCCCCAGGGTGTGCGCGTGCTCAGGCATTGGGCATTCGTTTCGTAGTTATTATTGTTATTATTGTAGTAGTAGTAGTAGTAGTAGTAGTAGTAGTAGTAGTAGTAGTAGTAGTAGTAGTAGTAGTAATAGTAGTAGTAGTAGTAGTAGTATCATTATTGGTATTATTATATTATAATTATTAGTAGTAGTAGTTGTTGTCGTAATAGTAGTAGTAGTAGTAGTTGTTGTTGTCGTAATAGTAGTAGTAGTAGTAGTAGTAGTAGTAGCAGTAGTAGTAGTAGTGTAATTTTTAGTGTAACATTTTAGTTCTAGCGTTTTCTTTTCCATGGGCGCGATATAATTCAAAGTATTATCATTTTGGTAGGGTTGGAAATGTGGTTGTAATTTGATTTGTCTTTTAACTAATCAGTTGACTGATTTATTTATAACACGTTTACAGGAACAGGTGTTATGCTATTCTAATATTCAGCACGTATTGTGTCGCTTGTTTTCCTTAACCTTTGTATCGTATCACTGCGATCTCGCGTGGTATTACTTACGTCAGAAAATCGAGTTGTCAGCTCCGTGGTATAGCTACGAATTTTATAAAACAATCCAAATGCGCTAATCTTGGTTGTAAAAATAGAGTGGGTCTCGTGACTGGTTGCTTCTGCGACAAAATGTAGACTGCTTTTCTCAATTTTGTGAGAACATCAAGGAAGGACTCCACCTGTCTTCACCTGTGGAAAAAGTGTCTGTAATTTTCGTCACCTCTAGATTGAACAGGTGGTGACCAACGGTGTTTGTGGTGTAGCAATTAGGTACTACGCCGTCACACGCGGAATTCGTGAGTTCGATTCCAGTGTTCAGAGGTTTTGTAAATCTTAACTCCGTCTGTCTGTGACATTGTCTCCTTTTCAGCCCGGGTTGGCTCTAGCGGGCAATGTCGAAGGGTTCTGTTTAGTAGAAGCCCCCCCCCCCTCACCCCCTTCCACATCGACACCTGTTTCGATCATTTAGGAGACGGGATCCTTTAAGAATGATCTAAATTGTGTTGAAGGGGGCGAAAAAAATTACAATGACGGCGTAGACCCGACCCACCCGTGTGCAGGCTGTGTTGTCGAATGTGTCCTCCGCTGAAGGCCATAAAGGTCACCAGGACAAGATAGTGCCGGAAATATATCAAACGGACTGGAGAAACTGCTCCTGTGTGGAAAGATAGGGTGAAAGAAGAGCAGAAGAAGATAAAGTGAAACAACATACACATATTGCCTGAACAGCTTTGAAACTAATAACACAAAGAGAAAAACCGAGCCGATCAAGAAGACAGACAACAGGAAGGAATGGGGTACCATGATCGTCTATGTCTGCTCCTGGCCTGACACTTGAAGAAGAAGTGCTTTAAAGCAGAAACTCAAACCAGGACACGATGACCAACATGTGTCAATAGTGCGGTAAAACATAAACTCAAACAAGGATGACCAACGTGTGCCTGTAGTGCCGTAAAGTATAAACCAGGACACGATGACCAAATTATGTCGACAGTGCCTTAAAGCATATACTCAATGTCAAACCGGGCACTCGTGACCTTATGTAGCTGCGAGCACAGTAAAACTCGTACCTAACCAAAACTTAAACCAAGGTGCGATGACCAAATTGTGTCGATAGTGCCGTAAAGGATATATACTCAAACTCAGACTGCTCACACATACGACCTTATGTAGTTGCGAGCGCCGTAAAACTCTTACCAAACCAGAACCCGATAAGGACCGCAGGATGTCGATGTACAGGAGGACCATGCGGCAAAAGAGCAAACAGAAGCGGCCAAAATCCATGAACAGCCTGGACGACCGCGGGCGCCTTTCGCTTTTAGGTCAGTTGGCCGAGAGTTCGAATCATCCCGCTGACGACAGTTTGTTTCTCGGCGTGGTGTCTTCGTTCGCGGGCATGAGCCGGTCACGTTCCGAGAGCAGCAGCTACGTAAGCGGTCGGTCGTCCTCCTCTTCCTCCATAGCAGCGGCCGTGTTCGCCGAGCGGAGGTCTTCACAGCAGGCCGAAGGCTCGCCGGACGCACTAGGTTACCAGGTTCCACGCGGCAGCACACTGTCAGGCTCCAGATGGAACGGTGGCTCCTCGCTGTCGAACGTTTTGCCAGTCACGGCGCGGAAGACAAAGGTGTCTCCGGAATCGCCAGCCTCTGGGACGTCCTCCTCACGCTCCCCATGCCTGCCGTCTTCATCGTCGTTGTCGTCTTCATCGGCAGCATCGTCGTCCCGGGGAAGTTTCTACAGGTCGAGAGATCCTGCAGGTACCGCTTACCCATCCGTCACGACCTCTCTCGCTTCCTCGTCTACCCAGCTGCCCACCTACAACGGTCGGGGCCGTTCCCCGACGGCGTTGTCTTCGTCATCATCGGCCGGGAGAAGACAGTTAGTTTCCTCAGACGGTCAGCTTCAGTGTTTGTCGGACGGATGGTCAGTTGCGTCCTCTGTCAGTCGTAGCGCTGACGTCGCTGGGAGTTCCTCGCGTAGATCTGTAAAATGCCTCTCGTGGCATCTGGATCACAGCTCTCGGAGGGAGTGCCTGCCTCTGGAGTTTTCGGAAGATGACGGCGGCCCACGCAGCACCCCATCTTTCGTGTCTAGTAGAGTTTCACACTCGAACCAAATTGTCCCGAGCGGCGGCGGTCAGCACACGAGATCTTTGAGGTGCCTGAACTCGCCAACATCGTCAGGCCGAGTGACGAGTGCGGTTCCTTGTTGCGAAACGCCGAGTGCTCCACTTTTCGGACAAGACACGGGCCGGTCTCGCTCCCCGTCCACCCAGACGTGCAGGGCGGCTATGGTCATCGGTGTGTCCACTTCAACGTCGAACAAGGTCAAGGAGGCGGTCAACGTGGAAACTTCGGTGAGTCGAGGAGTGTCTGATACGCGTGGAGGTATGTCAGGCTCCGTCATGCATGCAGAAAGCGAACCAACGCCTGTGTGTGGCATGGGTGAGTGCAGGTCTGTGACTTTATCCGTTGTAGAGGGGAATAAAGCTATCCCAGAGACCACCAGTCCTTCCTCCTGTTGTAGGCGCCCCTACACGAGTAACAAGGGTCGTTCGCGTGACGCAGGAACGGTCACTACCATGTCTTCGGTCACCGTGTCCACCACGGGGGAGTCCTGCTCTGTCACCCGTCGGAACCAGGGCTGTGTCCACAAGAGTGTGACCATCACCTCCTTCGCTGACCAAACCTTAAAGGGCACACAAGAAACTAATGATTTGAGCGGTTGTTCGGCGTACAGGAGAAGCTTTTCAGATCCTACACACGTACTGTGGGTCCCCCACTACGTCAAAGACGGGCGGTCTGGAGGCTCCACTGACGATACATTTGGCGCGTTTTACCAACGGAGGGATTTCAGAAATACTTGCCCACCGCCATCAGCGGACCGGCGAGTGCCACTGAGCGTGGAAACATCTCACCCGAATATTACACACGCCAGAGGTTACAGGCCAGTAAGTTTAGAGAATGGTAATATTAATGATTCACGTGTTTTGGATGGATGGGACTATTCGAGAACGATCGAAATGAACATCAGGGACGAAAGGGAATCATCATCGCCTGCTCATGGGAACGCAAATGGCGCCGGTCCTTCTGCTGTTGTTGAAAGCAAACAAGGAGAGTCGTCTGGGAGATTGGAGAATAATGAGAATCATTCTAGAAGTGCCGCTTCTCCTTCGTGTGTGGTCAAACAAAACAACAACCCTACCACTGTGGTCAGGCATGACGCGTCGTCATTGTCATCGTCGCTGGCCGTGTTGCTGAGTGACCCATGGTCGTCCAGCCAGGTGGGGGTTATCTCCCTGGAGGAGATCCTGCTGACCAACCTGCACACGGTGCGGGAAAAGATGCGCGGCGGCGCCGAGATGGTGCTCACCAAGGTACTCTCGTTCTCGCAGTAGCGGACACGCCTTTGTGAGACAAGGATGAAAAATGGGGGGGAGGGGGTGGACTTTTATTTTATTTTTTTATTTACTTATTTTTAAATTTTGATTGTTTATTTTTTTAATTTTCATTTCTTTCT